ATTAACTTTCTTTTTTAATGTCTTGTGTTACATTTCTTTTTCCTCCTTGGTCTTATGATTGCTTATTTTTTTCTGTGTTAGGTCAAGATGTACTTTTCCCTAACCTGCTTTCTGATATTCTTATCCTTCCTGTAGTGTAGCTTCCGTAATTTTCTCCTCCATTATATCCTATGTCTTCTCACTTTTATTTTTTTTTTTTTATGGATACAATAGCTGTGATACACTCTTCTGGCTTCAGAACAAACACAGAAGAGGGAATAGTCTGTACTTGTGTTCTTCCCTTCTGTTCTCAGTAATCCTGTGAGAGTCCACATCATGAATCTCTCTATTTCTCTTCCAGTAATCACTCTTAATCCAGAGGTCCTCTTTCGAAGTTTCATGAATCTCTGCCACTTTATCTGATACATAGCCATTCCTTTGAATTCTTCTTCCCAGAGCCTCTTATTCCTCCATCCCACATTTTTCCTGGTCAGAAGCTAAAGACAAACTTTCTTTTGTGCCACAAAAAACAGTGGCAAAGTGATGCTCCATTTTTCACTGAGAGCTTTCAATAGCAGTAATATTTTGGTTGGATTTGGATAGCTATACTCATACTTTTTACAGGTTTCAAAAGATAACTTCGAAACAGTAAAAATTGGCTGTGCAGATTATTTAGAGCGATGAAAGCTTTGATTATGAAGACTTCAATAATACACAGCCAGGGACAAGGACATCTGTAGATCTTCAAACTGTGAATATAAGCAAGTTTTATTAAAGCTCATACTCATTTTCTGTCATGAAACTAATCCCTGGTTTAGAAAACCATTTATTGAATGATTTCCTAAACTGTATGTGTGGCATGGTTTAACCCTGCTGGGAACTCAGCCCCACATGGCCACTCACCTGCTCCCGAGTGGGATGGGGCAGGGAATCAGAAAAGTGAAAATAGTCATGGCTTGAGTTAAAGACAATTTGACAGGTAAAGCAAAACTGTGCACACAAGCGAAGCAAACAAGGAATTTTATTCACCACTTCACATCTGCAGGCAGGTGTTCAGCCATCCCCAGGAAAGCAGGGCTCCATCACATATAACAGTGACTTGGGAAGATGGGAAGACAAACCATCACTTTGGAGGTTCACCCTTCCTTCTTTCCCCAGCTTTATATGATGAGCATGACACCCTATGGTAATGGATACCCCTTTGGTCAGTTGGGGTCAGCTGTCCAGGCTGTGTCCCCTCCTAACTCCCTGTACACCCCCAGCCCCCTTGCTGGTGGGATGGGGTGAGAAGCAGAAAATTCCTTGACTCTGTGCAAGTACTGCTGAGCAGTAATGAAATACAGTTATCAACACTGTTTCCGGCACAAATCCAAAACGTAGCCCATATGTTTTTCTGCTATGAAGAAAATTAACGCTATCCCAGTCAAAACCCCCTCAGTATATGAGATTTGTTCCAGCCTTTCAGAAATGAAACCATTCTATACACAGAGAAGTTATGTCAGTCTATTGAAGTTTTGAAATTCAGAAAACCAGTGCTTCACCTTGGAAAACAATGGTGTTTGCATAATTTTAAATTATGTTATGACATTAAAAAAACCAAAACAATTAAATGGTAAAATGGAAAAAAGGGTTGTAATTATAGCCACTGATAATGTACTATACTCACGACAGAAAGTCCCATTTACTTTTTGTATGTGAAGACAATGTATGCAAAAAGAAAGTTCCTTCACTTACAAAGAAAAATAATCTTATGTAGCTATTAATTTTACAAGGCCAAAATGTTGTATACTTTGTTAATACAGGAGTGCCTGCCAAGCATATTGATCTGTGTACCATTGTATAAATTGAATTTTTATGAAGGTTATTCATTGGGCAATGAGTACGAAAGATACATTGCACATCACTTACGTCAGCATATCTTGGGATGTACTTTTTTTTTATTTCATTTCATACTAAGTTTTAAGACCTTTCCAGTAAAGGTATAGCCAGATAAAGCATAACTCTAATACTCTTTTGTTAGAAATAAAGTTAGATAACATCTTAGAAGATGAGGGGAAATTTTTTTTTTCTCTCTGCCCATAAAGAAGATGGTAGAGAAAGAATTTATGTATTGTTTTCAATATTTTCCCTGGAGTACTTATCTATCTACATATGTATTTTATTTGGATTCTCATCTCCTTCAGAAATTAGAAGGCTCATTTGTGCTTCCTCTCAGATTAAATGAACTGTGATGGGACAATGATGTTTTCTTCTTCTGGCAGAAAAAATAATTCAACCCAGGTAATCTTGTGCACTGATTTTTTTTTTTCCCAGCAATTGTGGGGAAGAAATAGTTCTTCAAAGGAAGAAGAATGTTCAGACCACAGGGTGATATATGCTTTAAGAATATCTGAGTTGGGCAATACTGGTAAGAAAATGAACCAAAGCAATGGAGAGTTTAAAAAATATGACACAGATCCTGTGGGTACTCTTTAAAAACATAACCATTTATATTCAGAGTGTTTCAATATCATTTAAGTATCCTTAGTTGTGTTAATATTAAGAAAGGAAATAAATTAGCTGAATAATATTTCATCACGCTTAGAAGTGTAATCAAGCATTTCAGTTGCTAGTTATACATTAGAGCATACAAACTTCCAGAAGAAATAAGTACTCTTCTTACTGACATGCAAGACAATTTACAGGTAAAATGCAAGCACACATGCATAGATTTTGCTTGCTGTATGTTCAAACAGTCTGTAGCCTTGTACTTTTAAGAAGCCCCATTTTAGAGTGCCAATTAAGTTTCTGAAGATACAGTGGCCTAGTGATTTTGTGTTGTGATCAGGATAGCTCTGCAGGGTGAAAAAAGTTCTTCTAGTCTTGTAAGGGACCCAATAAAGGTTGAGATTGCATAACCCACTGCAGAGTTAAATAAACTACCACCAGTGTTCAAGACTGTGAGGTTCAAAGGGATCAGGTACTTAATTGCTGCCTATACAAATCGATACTGTCATTAATAGTGTGACTTCTTTTATTTGGTGGAATGCCAGGATGAAAATCAAACAATGTTCTATGTTTGCACTTCCAACTTTTTGCTAGCTCTTATTTTAGGAATACATAAATCACTGATAAATTTCACATTGAAACATGACTAGATTTTAATTTTGACCACTAGGTACATGATTACTTTATAGGTGAATGGATGGTAACAAATATACAATTTTTAATTTTTTTTAGGGATTGCTGGTTGACATAAAATATTTGTCTTATTTCCCAGTAAACAAGTCTAAATGTTTTCATATATTAAACATAAATATTGGCTCAAGGTAAACCAATATCTATGCAGTATCTGTATAATATGCTGTGCAGTATCTTAAACCACCAAAAAGTGTTGAATGACCTGATAACAGTAGTGCAGCTGTGATGACAAAAGACTACAAAACAATGTATATTCTACCTGATCAGGTTGCACTGTTAAGGTACTGGGATTGAAGGAGTCACAAAGGAATGGGAGGAAATACGTGGAATTAGACTATGGAATGAGAACCTCTAATAGTGGAAGCATTATGAAGCACATATTTTCCTCATAAAGAAAAGAAAAAAAAAGTGTTTGGGTTAAAGTATTTGTGCCTTCCATTCCAGTTAGTTTGAGCTCGTAAACTAGAATGGGAATTGTTTTACCATTTTTATTACAGTGTTGTTCTATAAAACAACATTTTTTTCCATCCATATATCTGCGTGGATGTAACTGAGATGCATAAAACATTGCATGCATACTACAGGCATAGAATCTGTTTTGTTCTTTCAGCCATTCTCTATACAAACTCCTCTTGGAGATCTGTTCTGCCTACAAAAATGTTTTCCTGTATTGGGAGTCTCATTTTGGAACACTTAGAATTTGGATTAGCAAAACAAGATCACAGAGACCAGGAATCACTAGTAAGGTGCATCAGTTCACAAAAAAAATCTGTTTATACTGTATAGCCAAGCATTAGTGCCTGGAAAGTTGCCAAGTGAGTGCAGTAATTTCCATAATTATGCAGTTAAAACTGTTTGCATCATGAAGGTGTCTGATTAATTTGAAGATCACATCGTTTTATGGGATGAGAGAGGGATGATCTCCATGCAGTTGGTTAGTAGGTGCCTCAAGATTGTAGACAAATTTGTCATTTATCACAAAGAGAAGAGGAACCCTCACTGAGCTAGCAGATTATCAAGCACTGCAGCTTTCAGTATTACAATCAGTAACACTTTTGATGTTAGATTATTGACAGAGCATGAATCTCCATTGGTCAGTGCCTCTTTAATAATAAAAATAAGAATTTGTTTCCAGTAGCACTTAATTGGATGAAAGTGCTTCTCAAAATAGATGAAAAATTATACTGCCTGTCCTAAGGGCTTAGGAACTTCTCAAGTTTCATGATTCAATGTGGTGTTAGAAGTGAGACACAGTCATAGGCATTAATGGATTTATCCTGTATAACTGTTATTTCCATATTGGTAATACTGAAAATGGAACAAGGCACCAGTTTTAGTTGGCTAACTTCTTGAAGGATCTGCAAAATAAATTGATCTGAATGTGGATCCTAGTGGCACTGCAGGTCAGCACAGAAGAAAATATATGTAGAATATTGGAAAATATAGACAATTGCATCATGAGTGTGGAAGCTGGTAGCAAAAATGCCAAATGGGATCACAGATTTTGCCTTTTTGTTGTTGTTGTTCTACTAAAACAAATGCAGTAGTCAGGTATATAGCTGTTTCTGGCTTATTCTCGGGGAACAGTACTGTCAAGAGATGACATTGCAGTTGATGCTCACTTGGGAATGATTCGATTACTTGATTTTTCTTTAGTGTCTTTCATTGGGAAAAAAAAATTCTCTACTATCTGAAATGAAATATCCAGGCTGTTCACTTTTAAGAGTTATTGTATGACTCACTTTCTGCCCACTTCTTTGTAGTCAGCTTATGTGAGCCAGGAATTTAATAAAAATACAGTTCACAACATAGATGATGACTTGAAAATCATTTCATGGTTACTGATTTTCTATTGTAAAGATAGTTAGTCCTGCCTAATGATACACTATTATGATGCAGGCAATATGGATGTTGATTGGCAACTCTGCTGCTGGACTAAATTCTTTCTAGGAAGTCGCTGTAGATAAAACAAACATGTCTTAGGGAATAAACATATCTGTTGATTAAAAATAATTTAGTACATTTTATAATTTTTGCAATTATCATACAAATAAGTAGGAGATCAAGAGAAATTATGCTTTCTGTTTTGCTAAGGTAGAAAATACTATAAAAAGCATTTTATCCACAAGAGTCAGCAGAGGGTCAGGTATGCTGTGAAAAGCTAACACAACTGTAAGAGTGTTCAAATAAGCTCCTCAGCTGTAGGCACGTTTCAGCCTCTACTCTTGGTTCAAGGGCGTTGCTTTACATGAGCTTGTAGTATGAGATCTACACAGGTGATTAATCCTCCAACCTTGAAGGTGTATTAGGGAGTAGAATGCTTGTTAAACAGAGCCATGAACGGGCATCATACTATTTATATGGATTTTTTTTTTTATGTTCTAGGGATGTTTTAGTATATGCTTTAAAAATCCCTACAAACAAAGACTCATTTAACTTGCACAAAAATTACTGCATCAAAGATAATAATTTATAAACTATCTTGCAATATGTTATCATGCAAAGCAGAAACAATGTGGTGCAAAGAAGGAGATAAGTAAGAGTTTAATGTTAGCACTAATACATTTCAGTTGCTACTTTCTGAAAGTAATCTTGAAATTTTGAGGACCTTGTAAACTTCTGTTGTGCTAATTTGCGAGGAAAAGCAGCAGATGCTTGGAAACAATTGTTTGCCTCAGCCTCACGTGAAAAATGGATGGGCAAAAGAAAGGCAAATGATAGTTCACCAAATTTGCTTTTCTCAGTGAGGTTGGAAGTGATGTGTTCTCCAGTTGATACTGAGAAAAGAAAATAGCAAAATTTGTAAAAATGTATGTATAAAACATGATATACTGTATGCATAGAGATTCTTTGTATGCCTCTTGGAATCAGAGTTTAAACACACATTCTGACCATGTTCTTTTATGAGTGATTAACAATGTGCTGGGAACTAAGTTACGTAACAGTGCCTTAGAAAATAGCACAAAGAAAAAGCCCTTCTATTCCTTGTAACTTGCTATTTATCAGGGAAGCCTGATGGACTTTAAGCATTAAAATTTTAAAGAATAGGAATGACCTTTGTGTTCTGTACATACAAACTATGTAAAATAAGTACAGTTTAATCCTTGATTACAGCCTGCGCAGGCTACTAAAATTCAAATAATGTGTTGTACAAGCATGTTTTTTCTGTCGGTATTTTCCTTCATTGCTTCTGGTTTTACTCTGACGCAGAAAATGTTTCTTTCAGGTCCTCAGTCATGCACTTCTAAAAAGTGTTTTAGATAGTTTCTGTACTAACCTAATTTACCTCCACCACAGCTATGACAAAAATATCACCAACAAATTTTTGAAATAAATTATGAGCACACAGCCTTGCGATGTCTTTTTGTTCAGTACACTTAATTCTGAAGCATGGCAGTTTTAACAGAAGAAGGCAGTGAGAATCTGACGTGGTGGACTAAAATGTTAACAATCCCTCCTGACAGAAGGATAAAAAATAAGTAGTTAGGGATTCACTGCCTAGTGAGTTTACTGAAGGTTCAAGGTTTGGATTTAGTTACCTAAACAAAGACACTAAGTGCCATCTAAGGTGCACTAAATTATAAAACCCCCCACAAGTTTGGAGCTGGAATTTTCAACACAACTACAGACTTTTGCCCTTCACTGTAGATTTTAGAGGAGATATCTTGAGTCACATAAAAAAGCACTACACGAGTATGTTTAGACAACCAAATTCCACATGCATTACCTTCCTAGTGTTTTCTACCTTCTACAAGGAACTCCAGAGCTTCAGTCCCCCCTTCAAGGGTGACATAGATACTTATGCAATCCTGAAATCCGGGTTCACCTTCTGGATACACCAAGGTTAACTAGATATTGTATCATGTTTCTTTTTGAATTTAAAGTACATCAGGTGCTTTGAACACTTCAGCATCTTGGCTCCTGCCTGCTGACATTGCACCTGTGGTGTTGAATGAAAGTTCAAAAGTGCAAATTTCAATCGGTCAATACCAAGTTCTTTTTCTGAGTCTAAATTTATAGTTAAAGTAGAGCATAATTTTCAGATCTATTTCTATAAATGTGTATGTCCTCTTGTAGTCCCTGGTAAATTACTTTGATGTTTAATTGTTAAAAATTGGTGCTCTGTGTTCATTAGCTGCTATAGTGCTGCTTTGAAGATCCCCTTATTTTTGAAATTTATGTTCTTATGGAGGTAGAGAGACTAAGTCACTCTTTGTTCTTTGATTTGATAAGTTAAATTTAATTCATACCTCTAGAAGATATACCTCATATGGCTTTAATCATTCTGCTAAATCATCCTGAAATTTTCTCTGCTATGTCTAGTGTGAACTCTAGGCATAAGAACTAGATACATTATGTTAACGGAAAACATTTTTTTTTCCAGTAGCATTTCCTTCCAGGGAAAAGACATCATATAAGGGTATATTTACAGGTATATTTGATCATAGGATTAATAAATAGGACTACAAAAGGTTATCTTGTCCTTGTGTAGATTTCATGCATGAAGACGGTGTATACTATAACTGTGTCATTCTTAAAGGATGATTGTAAAAAATTCCCTTTAACAGATTGCACAGCCTTTCTTAGCAACCTGTTCTTGTTGCTTGCACACTCCTCACTCTTCAAGATATTTTTATGATTTCTAATTTAAATCTCCTTTTCTGGAATTTAGTTCATTGCTATTTATTTTGTCTTCAGACTACACAAAGATTGATGAATTTTCTTCTTTAACACCCCCTCTTATATTCTTAAAAGATTTATCAAGTAAATTGTAGGTCAAGATATCATATACATATATACCAACTATCATTTTTATTTGCCTCTTTTGTACTGTCTCAAATTATTCCATATTCTTCCTAAGCCATAGTCCTTCAAAATACAAAAAAAAGCCAGCAGATGCTCTAAGAGTATTAAGGTGCCTAAAAAAATGTATTCTGACTGTTTTTTAATGCACCACTCTTGCATATAAATCTCAGAACTATATTTTATCATAAGAAAATGATGTTGTTAATTTCTGTTCAGAGACTATGATCCAGTGTAATATTAAATCATTTTCTGCAGTACTGATGGTGATCTAGTTTAGTCTTGCATTCTTCCTTACCAAACTGTTAAGGTTGCTTTTCTTTTTATCTAACATGAAACCATAATTACTGCCACTTTGATGGTGGTCAGACTGGAAAATATTTTGTTCACCAGCATGCTAATAGTAGTGACAGTTTCTTTTAGGTCCATAAGTGTTTATTTTTAAGGTGAAAACTATAGGTTCACCTATATAAGGTTTCTAGAGCACTCAAGTTTCATCCTTCCATGTGAAAGGCAAATCAGGCATTTGTCACTCTTGTTCTGCATCAAGACTATGCTTTACATCATTTCTGTCTATAATGCTGAGGATTTTGACATCCTTAGAAATTTATTTCCTACTTTATTAAGGAAGGAGAAAGCAATTTTCTTCCCTTATTTGCCATTAGGCGGGGTTGTATTTTTCCTGTTCCACTTATTGTTCCAAATTTGGTAATCCTCATTTGGCAACTAGTCCCACAGAGGCTTCTTGATCTTGGAGGACTAGTATGTGGTATATACAATCACATAGAGGAGTATTGAAAATGATCAAGAAAGAAATGGAATAAAAGTGCCATAAATTAAATTGTCAGTCCCTAGGAAGTAAGTAGAAAATATATAAAATTAGACCATTCCAATAGTCTCTTTTCCATGCTGAGAAATACCTTCTCCCAAAGTAGGGAAATTCAACTCTTCTGGTCTTTTTGGATGTGTTTATCATGGTGTGTTTTACCCAGCGAGACCATAAATCATTTTTACTGTCTAGAAAATCTACTTCAAATTACTTGTAAATAAAAAAGGGAAATGTATCATGTTGCTCTTTTCTGTCATGATAATAAATGAATGCACAATAAATTAACATTTTCTTGTTCTTATTTGTAAAATAGTATGGCAACTAGGAGTAACTTCATACAATGACTGTAGAATTCACACCTCTTTTGCACAAATGACTAAGAGGAGTAGTTTGTATATGTTTGTATTGCTTTTGTGTCTCTTCCTGTCCCTAATGGTCAACAAATAGTTTTTTCTTGTAAATTACAGATTTGTTTTAGACATACAGACCTCAAAGTAATTCAGGCTAAAGCTTCAAGGTGGATCTGCCTGTTTTTCCTGGGATTATTTACATAAAAAAGGGAGAGAGGATTCTATGGCTAAATAATGTTTTGCTAAATTAGAAAAAGATAACCTAAAAAAACTCAGCTCACTGTTAGACTTTAAAAGATGAGCTTACAAATAAATTTTTGCATGCAACAAACTGCTTTGCAGAGCAAGAACTTTCCTTTCAGCTTGCTACTGGTAAAGTGACTTTTACCTGTTCTATGTGTTGCAACACACTCTTAACAGTCTGCTTTTAAGCCATTAAATAAATTTCTAATGTGACTTGGCAATGACTACTCCTTGACAGCATTAATATATACAGTGCAATGCAAGTTGCAAATAAATAAATAAATGAATAAATAAATTAGACAACATTATCTGGGAAGCTCTCACTTCTCTTATTGCCACCTAGGCACAATTTTAGAAAGTACTTAAAGTGCCTAGATTCAGAATAAGAGATGAGGCTGGGCTATGCCAGGAGAGAGAAAGACTTGGATGGTGGATGTGGATGGCAATTTGCAGAGCCTGACTGAAACAGACTAGAGTGAAGGACTTGCAGGAGGGTTATGTGAATTCTCGGGTGAAATACTGCTATTCTGAGGCAAAAGGCTGGTGTTTATTGTGTAAATGAACTTCAAGTTTGGAGAAGACTGCAACAGTGTGATAATACTGCTTAGATATCACCACACAAAAGGGCTTCTGGAAAGCAGGTGACACAGAAGGCCAGCTAAAATCAGACAAAACATGGAAATAATTACTTTAGGAGGATCACTGGGTGAGAAGCAGCATAAAAATAATGAATATGAAGAGTAAAATGAATGGAAAACTAAACAGTGCTTTCAGAGATGAGAGTCTATTAGTTAGGATTTCTGATGCAAGGTAATACAGAAAGAGAAAAAGAATATTATAGCAAGAGAAAAGTAAAATGGGAATTGAACTTTTCTCTCTTTGTTATCTTCAAAAAAGCATATCTTCAATTAATGAACAGTTATAACAGTCTTCAAATATTATCTCTATTGCCTTTGTTACAACTGGCTTTCCTAATGAACAGCAACCTAACCCATTACAAACTTCGCCAAATGTATGTAGATTCATGATACAGCATAAAACTGGAAAATAAAAGGAATAATAAGTAGATTGCATAAGAAAGGAATGTGTATGTTTTCTCAGTGTAGTATTTAGATTTCTCTAACAGGGTATTTTCTCTGACAGCTTGAAAGATGAAAAGTACAGTATCACATTGTCTCTAACATCCTACAAGATAAATTTGATCACCTCTGTTGAAATTGTAACTGTAATTTGCTAAGAAAGGTATTATTTAAATCTGCAATTACTGTTATTTCATAAGGTATTTCATAAGACTTAAGTAAAATCAAGTAGTTTAAGAAAACCATAGTCCCCTAAGAAGCTTCAATACCCAACAGAAGAAAATGTATCTTACAGCAGAGTTTCATAATGACTTTCTAGGCCATTGACTCAAGAAAGATCTTACATTTTCCTTCAGTTTCACAGAATGGATTTTGATATAAAGTAGAAGCAAATAAGGTATTCTATAACTTGATTTTTTAATTTTTTTTTTTTACTTTTTGAATCACAAAATTATTATGGTGTGAAATAATAAGTTGATTCTACCTGTTTTACATAGGACAATATACTGTTTATCACTGTAACAACTATTATCCAGTATTTCATTAAACTTGTGGACAGCATTTTTCATGTGCTGATTGATTCCATTTTTTTTCTTACAGTGAAAAATTGTATGGCAGGTGACATATTTTGCCCTGTTGTTAGTATTGCAACTGTGCCACTGTTTAGCGCACATGTCGTTTTGTACTAATTTAGGAGAAAATAAGGTCAGAAGAAAGTGCTTGTGTTGCTGCCAATTTTTGGAATTATTTTAGCTGCTGGAGAAAATTATATTTTGGACATCTGAGTTGTGAGCTTTGTGAACAACACATATGACCGCCATCTGGAGAAAGAGGAAACTGTTGATATCTGTCTTCCCTCCAGAACTTCAGAAGAGTTTGAGGAGACATTATCTCCTCAAGGATAAAGCCTGTGAAATAATTTGATATTCTTTACATTTTTTGGTACTAGGAGAGACAAAAAATCTTTTTCAGCCCATATTCTCTTTTTGCCAGTTACCAGTTAAGTACGTGAAATGATCACACCTATGCTGTGTCGAATAGAACATCCTGCTTGCTTCCAGATGTCAGCAATGTACCACAGACTGTATTCACAACTTTTCCACCATGAATTTGTTAATTTACCTTTCGAACTCTTTTATACCTTTTCTTTTATGCCATTGACTTCTGCAAGTTTGTATGGTAATGTGGTTCTACACTCCAAATGCATGTTGGACATGTTGGATAAAAATTAAATTCTTTAATTTTTATTTACACTCCCCCCTCAACTTGTTGCCTGATAATTCACATATCTCTTTTTAGATCTGGCATTGTGAGAAAATGGTAAGGGTCTCTCATCCAGTAGGAGAGTTGTTATCAATTCAATTCTTCTTGTAAAGAAACTATTTTGTTTCTGTGTTCCTCCCTGTCACCTATGTACTTTTTATATTTTTATTATAACTTTTCTGAGATGTGGAGATCAGGACCACACACAGTATTTTTCATAGGTACTCATTGTGAGTTTACATCATGGCCTGATGCTGGTTTTGTGTTTTGTTCTCTGTTTTTCTTTCTAATATGCCAATTGACTAGATGATCTCTCTTGAGCAGCAGTTAACTTTTTTGTAAGACTACCTCTGCTGCCTCTTTTCTTAGCAAT